GCTCAACGTGCCCAGTTCTTTCCATCTTTCCTCCTTATAGGGCTTGCTTTCCAACCCACTGATCCTCCTGGTGGTCCTTCCTTTGAACTTGCTCCAGTCGGTCAGCATCCTTCTTGAAGAGCGGTGTCCAGAATTTGAGATGAGGCCTAACCTGTGCTGAATAGAGGGAGGGGGGGACTAGTACTTCATGGTATCATCTCGCCCCCACCCCACCTCCAACCCCCTGATCCTCCTGGTGGCCCTTCCTTTGAACTTGCTCCAGTTGGTCAGCATCCCTTCTTGAAGGGCGGTGTCCAGAATTCGAGATGAGGTCAAACTCGTGCTGAATAGAGGGAGGGGGGGACTAGTACTTCATGGTATCATCTCGCCCCCACCCCACCTCCTTGTGCAGCTTTGGCCCCACTCCAGTGTCAACTGTATTTCTTTTTCTCTTTCCCAAAGAGTTAAAACTTTATGGTCTCGTCCTTAGATTTTGGAGGTCCTTTCCGCTCTGCCTCCTGAGCACCAGCAGATGGCGCCCCTCCTAAAGGTCCCTCTGAGTTCTGAAGAATGGGTGAGTAACAGCCAGAAATAGGGAGTGTTTGACCCGCGGGATTCTGGGAGCTGTAGTCAAACACACAAGGTTTCTTACAAGCATGTTGGTGTAAACGTTGGTCGTAGCTCGTGCCTCCTACTTTAGGTTGGCTCGTTTTCCCCCAAGGTGTTCACAGGAAGGTGTGCTTGTGATGAATGAATACAGACATCACTTTGTCCGATGAAGTGGACTTATCCATGAAAGCTCAGATTAAAATATATATATAAGTTAGTCCTTAAGGTGCCACCACGTTTTTGTCTTTTTTATTTTTTATTTTTTACTTTTGAATTTTATTTTGTTTTCCTCTATAATATTGGATTCTTGTGTCTTCCACTCCTCCTTGTCTTCTCCCACCAGGCAACCTTGGGGGAAATCCATGAAACCCTCCAGACAGAGTATCGATGTCGCGAACGTATGATGATCACCCGTCTGGATGTCACCGTTGCTTCCTTCCATTGGTCCGAGAGGGCAGAGGTGAGAAAGGGGAGGAGGCAGGGCTGGCCTGCTTACTGTGTGAAGTTATTTCCCTCGGGGAAGGCACGATGCCAGGGTGGGGGCATCTCTCATCTGCGGTAGCTGCCTTGTTTAGTGCCCGTCCTTCCCTTCCCTGCCAGGAGCGCAGGGCAGCCATGGCAGAGGCCTTCAAACGCTTCCGGCAGTCTCTGCCAGGCCAGTCCCCGGTCACCCTGGCTCATCTGTTGGCAGCTAGAGAGGACTTCTCACGCATCGTCAAGACCAGCAGCGGCGCCTCCCGGGACAAGACCAGTTGTGCCATCAACAAGGTAGGGGCCAGAGAGTTTTTCTTAGGTCCTGTTTTTGCACCAGATTAGGAAATATGTGAGCGTTGGTCATGGCCTCTCCCAATTTGAAGAGACCCTTGTCCAGCAGGCCGAGGTTGAGAGGCAGACCCGAAACCAGCAAAGCCAGGGAGCTGGACAGGGGACAGACTGTATCTGTCTTCAGGGTGGAAGGGATGGTCCCCCTCGAATGAGCCTCCTCAGCCATACTAGACGCTGTTCCAAGACCTCCATTCAGAGAACGTTACCATTATCTCTTGGGAGTGAAGGAGGCCTACTGCTGGTCATGGCCAAGGGAAAAGAGAGCAGTTGGCACTTCTTCATTCCTTCCCTTTCATCCCCTTCAGCAGCTGGTGCCTTCACAAGTTGGCTGGGGAGACAACTTCCAGAAGGCCACACCTCGCCTGGAATCACTGGGTCTGCACAATAACACACACCTAAATTCTGTGACTTTTTAAAAATCTCCTTATGCATTTTGGGGGACAAAGAAGCAATGTGGATACATTTTCAAGCCTACCATACTTTTTTTGAGGGGGTGGCCTTTCTTTTTTTTCAAAATTAGAAGTAACTAGAAGCAGCTTCTTAAAAACTCTACCCTCTTCCCCTGAAAACGGATCAGGAGGTTGAAACACAGGCCATGGTGGCAGCAGGCTTTTTAAAGTACACAAATGGGGCTGGTGCTTAAGAGGGATTCCCCCTCTCCCAGATAGCAAAGGTGCAGAGAAGCCTACACAAAGGAGGGGCCATGCTTTGGGTTAGTTGGAAATACCCCTGGCTGTGTGAGCACTTCCTCCATGATCTCTACTCCTGGGACACCCATGATGAGTGACGCAGCATAGGCAACTGGCCATACTTCTCCAGAGTTAGCAGCACAGTCACAAAAGGCCCAGAAGTAAAATCTGGAGCAGTGGATTTAAAGCAGGCACCGAAGGTTGAGATTCTGCAATATGTATGAGAAGAGAAACCAGCTGGTGGAACGAAGATAGTATCCTATGTCGTCGTCACCGTGAAAATGGAGGGCATAGTGACATGCAGGAAAAGAAGAACAGGCAGCTATGAACTATACAGACCATGGTGGAATGAAGCAAACTGGCATATTTAGAGATGCCGGGCAATGGACACAATGGTGGGACTCGGCAAAAGCTGAGAATTTTTAAGAATGGTTAATACTTTCGGATAAAGCCGTCTGTCTTCTCAACAGGTGCTGCTCGCAGGTGACGTCCCAGACCGGGGTGGCCGTCCGAACGAGATAGAGCCTCCCATGCCGACGTGGGAAAAAAGGCGCTCAGGTGGGGGAAGCAGCAGCCAGCGCTGGGGCAAGCGGGGGAAGAAGAAGAAGAAATGACGGGGAGATCCCGGCCTCGTTCAGCTCAGGCCGCAGACCTCGGGGAGGTGAACTACGGAGAGAGGATCCGCAGATTTCTGAGTTCGCTTCTCACTGAGCGAGTGGCTCCTAGCGAGCTAGGCTCAGGCTTCGCACAGGGTGGCTCTCGGGGTCCCCTTCTGCAGGGTGGAGGTAAAAGAGGTTTAAAACAAGTGTGCAGTTATGTCTGACTTGGAGTGGAGAGGGCAGGGCGCTGCTTTTGATAGGCGCATGTTTGCGTAGATGCCTTCCCTTTTAAAAAGCTGGCTCCGAGGACCAGATATTTGTGTCTCCAAATCCATAATTTAGTGCTACTGGATTGTTCTTTTGAGTTGCTTTCCGGGAAGGAAGGAGAACCACTGAAGCTTTTTTTTTTTAACGTTATCCAGTATTCTGTTGCATTACTCAGTCACACGAGAATCTTCCCCACCCTGCTCCAGTGGGCATGATCCTGCTGGAGCAAGGGAATGCACACACCGTTACCCTTATGCTCTAAATAGGGTGTGCGGGATCTGTGGATTGTTTGCACAAGATGACTTGGAGTCTAAAAGAGGTCAAAATTCCTGGGCTGCAGAAAATTAAGGTGGCCAGAGAGGACTGCCATTGGGCTCCTTGTCCTCCCTATGATTGGCTTTCACTGATGCATGTGAGTGTGGGATGTCCTGTCTTGTTTTAAGGAGAGGAAAATGTTAAAAATGGTAAGCTGTGTGAAGACTTGTTGAACACTATTTAGCTGTCAGTTGCTGGATAGGAAAATAACTTAGATGCAGAGTTTTGATCCTATCCCATCCTCTCTTATCAATTCAATGCAGGCAGATGAACATAATCCAGATTACATAACCTGGGTGCAGTTTAGTCCAGATACAACTCTGGTATTAAATTTGTAATTCAAAGAATTCCTGTAAACTTATTTTTCCACTGTTTTTTTCATTCTTCCATGCCAGCCCATTTGTGTTGTTGCTCTGTGCATTGCAGAAAAATGGAAAATGTTTTTAAAAATTAGCAATACGGGAGAGACCCCCTTATCCACATGATCAGTATCCACGGATTATCTACAGTCTGAAAACATGACAAATATTAAAAGACAAATTCTAGAAATGTGTCTACATTTCTAAAGAGGGTTACCAAAACTGGCCACTAGAGGAAGCCAGAGACCAGACTATGTATAGCCTTTGCTATTATAATAGTGTTAGCTCTCATCTGTGTTTTTCAGCATCCACGAGGTTGGGGCTTGGAACCAATCTCCTGTGGATACGGGGGTCCTACTGCAGTTTTGAGGGTTTTATGATGGAGAAGGGGGCTCAGGTCTGCCCCCACCAGGAAAGTGATAGGAAGTGGGACGAGGTGAGCCTAAACTCAATGCAAGAACCAACTTTGAAAAAGACCTCCTATTTCCAAACGTTGGGTGTCTGCCATCCATACGTGCAAGCTAGTTTGAGGGAGTGAAGGGGGTGTGGGTGTTTCTGGAGATTAGGCAAGAGAGGAACAAATAGAAACTGACATTTATTTGGTTCTTCCATAGCAGATGTCTGTGGCCCTTTTCCCGTCTGATCTTCAGGCTCCTGGGCGTTTAAGGCTCTTCCCTCCCGATCGAGTGTTCAGCCACCTGGAGGGCCTTAGACGGAGAAGTCTTAGTTTTCTACCCTCCTTTGTAGGAGGTTAGGGTGTGCCCTACAAGGCAGGGAACCAGGGGCCTTCTACAAGCTCAGGAACGGCCCAGTAGAACAATTCATGGGTGGGCTCGACGCTGGATCCTGCGGCAGAAGCATTCCCCAGGGACGCCGAGAGGAAGACACTGCCGCCAGGGTGCACGGTCCTGATAAACAGCCCTCTGGATCTGTTGCCTTTAAATCATCTTGTGCCCAGGCTGGGAGGTTTCTTGCCCCGTCTCTCCTGCAGCTCCTGACCTCTGTGTTCAGTTTGGCTTGGGTTGGGTGTGAGAGTTGCAGGCGGTCGCCCACGCCTTCCAGCAGGAGAGGGACGGGACGCCGGCCGCCTCCTTCAGCAGCCGGCGGTTCTCTGCCTCCAGCCGGGTGTTGTGGTTCTGGAGGCGCTGGTTGGCCAGGGCAAGCCTGGCTCGTTCCTGCAAGGGAAGAAGATACTTGGTCATTTCCCCCACCCGCGTCATTACTATTGAGCTTGTAGAGCTGAGCCCTCGAGTGACAGGGAACAGGGCAGGAGGATCCATAAGGGCAGCCGAACCAGCTCCCTGGGTAGCCTTGGCAGAGTTGCCAGCAGCTTAGTAGCCGTCCTGACGTTTGAAGGAGAAATCAGCCTAACGTTCCCATAACATAAGAGTCTGTGCAAATGGGTTTCACTGGATGGGGCCGTGCCTGTCTTTCGCTTGCAGAAGCCCCAAGTGCTGTGACAGTTCCGGTGGCTGCCGGCGGCTTTGATTCCTATCCCCTTTTAGAAAGGGTCTTCGGTTTGGTTAGGTAGTGAGACTCCCAAGAGGAATTTGGAGGAGGATGTAGGTGGATAAGGATTACGACGGAAGGGGAAAATACAGCAACTCTGCTGGCAATCGTGAATGTACAGTAGGACCCCCCCTCCCAACTTGTGGGGGTTCGGTTCTCAGTCCGCCAAAGATGCTGAAAACCGCAGATAAATAGCACATGCTATACATAGCATGGTTTGGGAAAAAAAACCCAAGAAATAAGTATTTTCACTATGTATTTACCAGAACTGGCCACCAGAGAGAGCCAGAGTCCATGCTATGCATTATTATTGTTGCGGCTCTGCTTGGTGGAAGTATGTATTTCTAGTTTTGAAAATATTTTTAATATTTCCAGGCCACAGATAAATGAAACCGGATACTGATCCTTCAGATTGTGGGGAGGGGTTCTCCTGTACATTGTAACTTTTGAGCTATGCCCTTGGAGCTGAACAGCAAGCAGTCTTTCCAGCCACTGCCACGGGCCAGCGCCATCCTGGGGAAAAATCGGAGCTTTCTGTCCGCCACCCTCTGGGACCTGGCAGATTGATATGAGCGTGGATGAGGCCCCACCAAGGTGGAGTCGGTCGAATGCTGCCTCTCCATGCTTTGTTTCCCCAGGGACGAGAGTAACCCTGGCCGAACTTGTTAATCCTTGGTCTCTTCCCCTTTTGGCCTAAAAGGAAGACATCAGGACGTGGCCTTTTCCGCCCGTAAATATCCTCACCTCTTCCAGCTCCTTCAGCCGCTCCAGCAGTTGCCTCGGACTCTTGCTGGGGCCAGTGGTCCTCGCGGGGGGCTCCTGCTGCCGCCTCTCCACGGCGGGGCTCCTTTCCTCCGTTTGCGTGCTGGCGTGTTTCATCCGCCGGCAGCCGGCCACGCTCCCCGCCGTGGCGAGCGGGCTCTTGCTCAGCTCCTGTCTTGGCGGGAAGAGAAACGCCTCTTCCTCGGAGCCTGCGGTGGGATCAGAAATGGGGACACTCAGCCGCCACCGTTCGGCTGGTGCAGAGACACTGACCGGCTGCTGGGTTTATCCTAATACAGTTCCCCCTCATCCCCTGCCAAAACAGGTCCGACCATGTTCACAGAAGCTTGGAGAAATTCAGAAAGAGGGTTTGGAGGTTCTCGGAGAGTTCTGAACATCAGGCTGATCGTGTCAGGTTGGAAAGAGGGTTAAGGCTTACAGTGAGGTTTGCTTGCTTGCTTACTTATTTCACTTTTTCGGCTTCCCATCTGCCCTTAAGTGGCTTTCAGTAAAAGCAATTCCAACATGAACTAAGACTATGAAGACATTAAACAAAAAAGCAGGCAAAACCCCAACTTCCATTAAATCTATAAGAGAATATTCCACGGCAGGGGACCACCGATCCGCCATTAAAATGCTTGTTTTTGATTCACAATCTAGGAGAACCGCCCTTCGGGGCAAGTGGTTCCCGAAAGCCATGTGCCAGGCCTTCCTTTGGCGTAAGGGTGCCTTTTGCAAAACTCTGCTGTTTGGGGGCAAAAAGACTAGCGAACGTAAAGGGGGTGGCCCGTCATGATTCCGAGGACGACCCATTCCGCACAAAACGTTCCCGCCGGTGCCTGCCAGCTCTTACCGGAACTCGGGTGGTGGCTGGCGGATGGCGTGGCAACACGAGGGAGGGTACCGTCCGAGGAGGAGGAGCAGAGGCGCCGCTGGCATTCCACCTCCACCTGATCCCTGCAGTGCTTGTGACAGATCATACCACAGTCTGCA